AAAGCTGCCTTAGAAATAAGATTTTTAAATAGGTCATGACAGCAGCACATTATTTCTAGCCCATATAAAACTGTGCTTAAAATTATCTGATCTAACCATTACAATAGGTTACTCCAAGTCAGAAACTACCTTATTCTGCATCTAGCTGTTCAGCAATCTACATACAAGTATTCTCTGCATGTTCAGATGAGCATACACAAGTCTATTTAGCAAAAATATCAACTCAGGTAAATAAAAGATAAGTAGGATGCACAAATATGTCAAAGCGAGAAAAACAAAGGATTACAGCCAAAATGAAGCTGTTAAAGCTCAATAGCCAAGATTGAAGAATCCACTGCGCACATTAAACTGTTCCCAAACTTGCCTAAGTACATCGCAAACATTCTTGTTCACTCATTTTCAGGTTCCAGATTGCTGTCAATCTAAGCATGGAGCGTTACGCTTTGATGTTTGGCTTCAACAACTTTGTTGCACTGGTGATTCAGACAGTTTTAACTGTTGTTGTTGTAGATTCAAGAGGTCTGGGACTGGACATCAGCACCCAGGTAAGCTGTATTACTCACCCTACTTTCAGTTCCCCTACTCTCCTCCTCCAAAAGAGGGTTCTACTCCAAGATCAGCCTTTGGGAAGATACTAAGTCATGTGCTACTTTAGGACAGTTACTGGAAAAACAGGTTCATTTAAAGTGAACTGTCAGTAGCTACTACAACATACTTGTCCTCTAGTTCTGCCAGTTTTGCTTTTCTGCAATAATTTTAAGAATAATTTCATAGAGCAGAAGGGAAAGACCACCATCTATTTACTCAGGGTGAGTTTTTACGGTGGTTTGGTTTTGGTTTGTTGTTTTGGTTTTTTTTTTTTTTTTTTTTTTTATTTAAAGGGTTACTATTCACAGGTTTATTGTCAGAATACCCTGAACAGAAGCAGGAAGCAAGCAGAAAGGCAATCTATAGGTCTATCACTAGGGTAATTCTAAGTTACATAATTTCATTGGATGCACCCTTAAGTTACTGTAATTCTGAAAATTAATCTCATGATTCCCCATTAAATTTCTAAATTTAAACTTATATACTGCATGAGGTCCTAGCCTCTTGCTTTCATCTTTCCAGAGAAGAGCCAGGCGTGCAGGGCAGCTGTCCTCCACCCTTGCTGAGCTGGGGAGGGGAAGCACGTAACAGTGTTCTCTCCCCCTCCTTTTACAACCACAGACTTCCTACAGTATGAAGTCAAGCAGCCAGACTTCTTGAATCCTTTCAAGATGAGATCATTTTGGGGCATGGGTGACAGGGAAGGCAGCAGTGGAAGGACATTCCTTAAGTTATTACCTAACAGCAAAAGCAGTTTTTGACTCTTCCTCCTCCCCCACATCCATTTCCCAGTTTCTCATTTATGGCAGCTACTTTGCATTCATCGCTGGAATTTTCCTGATCAGAAGCACATACACCATTATCTCCATCAAATGCAAAAACACCAGTGTGGTGGGTGAAAACATTCATCATTAGCAACAGAGACAAAAAGAATGGTTGCAAGCAACTGTGCCGAAGGCTGCATCACCTGAACAATGAATTAGGAGAAACGTAATGCCCGATGAAGCAAGACCAGTCAATGGTGAAACCGGCTGTTTATGAGCCTACAGCATCAAGAGCTTTGTCAACAGGATGATGTGTTTTGCCCACTTTCTTCACCAGTAACTTACTACCAAAAAATCCGCAATCTTCCATTTCAACTCAAATTTCGTGATCCGACACCAAAACTTCTATTAATGCTCAGTGAGCACACCAAGCAAGTACATACAAGATGCTTGAACCCCATGACAGAAGAGCTTAGAGAACACCACCTTTGAACTGTCCATTCTACTGAGGATTTCAATTAAAGGCAATTTAGTCACAGACATAAGACCTTCAAACACTCCTAGGGAATCTAAAGAAGCAGTTGCCCCATAGCAGCAAGATGATCTGTGGGAAGATTGCCACAGAAGCCTTTTGAAGACTTAAGGCTTTTTCAACTGGAAGTTAATGACATGCATTTTTAAAGCAAGTTAATCAACAGCAGTAAACCAGGTGTTTTTTCCCAACAGACACTACTTCTGTATGTTCAAAGGTGGGTTACTACCATGCTATATAGACAGCAGTATGGCCACTTTAGTTTACAAATGGCCAAATGCAGTCATTTCGGATTCCACGCAGACAATGCACTCCTCGGAAGTCTGAAGTTACAGGATGGTAAGGAAAACATGTCATTATATACAGATCAACTGCTACTGATGCAGGGACAGCTTTACTGCGAGCTTGGGGAAGACGTATGAACACAACACATTAACTGTCCCTTTGAGTGTCTGTCTTGATAAGCATATGCAGTAATCATGTCTGACAACTGTCATGACCCACACACACTTCTCTTTGGAAGCAAAGAAACTCCTAAAACTAACTTAAGCCATGGGGAGACACTTCAATTTCTATACAAGGCAGTCGTACTTAACAGACCTATAAGTTTAGATATAACTAAAGATAATTAGGGAATGTTCTTCCAACTGTGTTCAATAATGTCCACTTTGGAGTCAACCACATGATACAGCAGCAAATTCTATTGTGTTCCTTTACCACAATTTACAGGTGTGCCAAGTCAGAAGTAACTGGTGTTTCCCCCAGTACAGCTCACAAGAAAGTAAGAATCATTAATTCCTTTAAAAATACTTTTAAAATCAGCTTGAGCTTGCCTTTATGCCCCAGTAAGTTTTCCCTTCAAGAGAGCAGAATACTTGCATCATACTTAGTTGGAATTACTGAGAGAGAACTAAAATTTGGTCCTTTTAAAATTAATTTCTTGCCTCAGCATTTGTTTCAGCAATGCTTGGGAGTTTGCAGCCATTAAGCAACTCTGAAGTGCAGAACCTGGGCATCACGTCTGCCTTGCTGAACTCCAGATGTACCTCTTGCAGCATCTCCTTACACAATTAAGGGCTGGCATATTAGGATTAAAAGTATTAATCTAGAAGGTCTCCAAATAAATTTAAGAGAGCTAAAGTTATCAAGTGAAGTGCTTCGATGCTAAAGCAGAAGAGGATACTGAAAAGCTAGTACAGAAGTAGTATAGCTTTTTGGCAACTATGCTAGTTGCATGAACAACTGCAGAGATTTCTAAGACAAAAAACATTTATAATCATGGGTGAATAATTAATTTTTTAAATATAGCTATTTTTAAAATCTAATCACCAGAACAGCTATGATGTCAGTTTCTGCTCAATACAAAAAAAGACTCCAAACAACACAAGATCTTCAGCTACTTGTCTGGAGTTCGACAAACTTCAAATTAGTGAGCATACACTAAACAGATGTGGTTGTGTACAGTAAAAGTTGCCAACCTTTTATCTGCATTCAAGCTAGTTATGAAAAATAACGTATTCCACTATTTCTGCAGCATAATCTAAAACTACATGCCTTGCATACTTAAATGCATTTCAGTATCTCTTAGCAGTAAATCAGCTTCATTTGGATCAGAACAACAATTTCAACAGATGCTGATCTCATTAGCCCTTGCCCAAAGCTTAATTTGCATCAGTTTAGGTGAAGAGAGCACAAGATTGTTCCCGTTCCACAAGGCCATTCACCTCAATGAGACACATGGCTGATTCGGTCCAGTTCCCTGCAATAAGCATATTTCAGTGTTCCAAATCCTTGCAGTTCCCCACTCTACTACATTTGTGTGTTATCATCCCAAAACAGGTAAGGTCAACAACAAGGAAGAACAACTATTTATACTATGCTAAAAACCAGCAGCAAGAGCAAGGGCATCATTAACATCCTGGAAACCCTCAATTGCTAGGGATTTCTTTAGTGATTTTCCCCAAAAATCTTGGGAATCAAACTATACACCACACTCTATCCAGCAGTCCTCATCAGAAAAGACCGACTACGAGTCTGGTTCAGCTTTAAACATGCCAACATAAGAAAACCAGACATTTAGATGAGGAATCCTGCTATGAGCAACTTACTGTATAAGCTGCCTGTCCCCTGCTTTGGGATCTCCAAAGCTTCAGAAAGATACAGAAATTATTACCCCACTGTAAGCAGGCATCAGAAGTCAAAAGCACTGGCATAAGAGTGTTTATTAAGCAGTGGTCATGTTTGGCAGCTCCCCTAGAAATAAGCAGATTCAGGCAGGCAAGTGAAACGTCTTACCTTCATGAATTTTTGCATTCATCTCAAATGGGCTTGCACATCCTTTTCTCAAAAAAAATCAATCTGATCTTATTTATTCCTGTTATCTTGAAAGCTGTTAGAAATTTATTCTCCAGCTGGTAAGAAACCTTTTAAGCTTGCAGTTTATGTATTCATGATATGTTTACATTATTTACTTTGTTCCAGTATTACACTTGAACTTAAGCCAAGTTCTCTGTGTTTAAAACATCATCACCAACTACTCTGATGCAGAGTTGTATTTCTCCTGAAACTTATTATTACAGACTAGACAAGCCAGACATTTTTTCCCCTCTACAAATTCCATTCCAGTATGGCAGGAAACATTCCAGTAAATAAAATAATCAATGAATTTAATATTCCACAGGAGGTCTTACTAATACATCAATTTTTAATAAAAAGAGTGCTATTATTTCTGTGGGTACCTTGGCCTGCTTTTACACATACTGTTCTGATCACAACTAAGCCTTGTTCAAAGACTGTCATTAACTACCCACAATTACGTCTTTTGCAGCTAACAACTTCTAGATTAACTACCCTCCTCAGTGCTTCCAGTATCCATCCTTACACTGCTACTCCGTCAAAATAATCCAAGTTCACTTAACATTTTCCTGTCTGATATGTCACTTCAGCTACAACAGCAAGCTTAATCACAAGGACATAAACATATGCGAGGCGTGCGAAAATTTTAAGCTTAACTCACCTTTAAGCATATTGCTTTTGATAACTCCTCTGTGTGTGAGACAATATGTACATTTTAACCCAGTAAAATGTTACTGCACAGAAATAATGCTACACAATTGTTTTTTCTAGTATTTATTTTTTTCACCTGCAAACTGTAGCAAAACATGATCAGCTTTATTATGCAGACAGGTATCCCTCTAACATTAGAGATTTAGGCATGTATAAATAGAAGAGCTCTTAGGAAAGGAAAACATTTTGAGAAATGAACAAACCTTCAAATTTAACTTCATGACTTCCAATACCAATGGTTAAAATGATGTTGCTCATTCATTCATTCCAAGAGATACAACAGCACCTTAAAGTGGCTGATCTATTTCCCAGTAACATTTTTCACATAACAATGTGTTAAAGTTACAAATACTGATATGCACAAATAGCTATTTTCTAAGAAAAATATGTACAGTACTGCAGCATAATGAATGTGGTATCTGCAATAACTTATTAGCCAATTTTAATATACATGATACCGCTACTTTTTACCTGCCAGTTCACAGGTTCAAGGATGTTACCACAGCCCTCTGTTTTGCACGTTATTACCTGGTGGGGGGGTTGATTTTCTTGGGTTTTGTGTATTTTATTTTTTTTTTTTAATTTTTTAAAGGTACACAATGCAGGCTTTTATTTTTACTTCTTAAAGACTTCTTTTGTGTTTAAAGCTAATATCAGTGAAACAAGACAACAGTGCAAGAGGCGCAGAGATGTTATGTGACCACATAAGAGTTCTTTTGGGTAAAGTGTCTATAAGGCTATAAGAAAGGATTGGTTGATGAGCTTCCTGTTGGAAATTGTCCTGTTGGTGCACCAGCCTGGGGGAAAATGAAAGAAGAAAAATAAGACAAATACTTACAATTTACAATATTAAAAAAATCTTAAGTGCAGGATATATAAAAAAGAAAACAACTTAGTGGGAAATATTTCTGGTTTATGTTGCAGTCTTTTTTTGGTGGATCTTTGAAATTACACTACTGTAATGGTATACAAGCACCTCGGTTTTGATTTGAACAGCTTTAAAAATGCTATGTCATGGTGATACTGAATTGCATTCAGGAGATTATTCAAGGGTTGGTATTGGGACGAGCATTGTTTAATATCTTTGTCAGCGACACGGACAATGGGATGGAGTGCACCCTCAGCAAGCTTGCTGTTGACACCAAGCTGTGTGGTGTGGTTGACACGCTGGAGGGAAGGGATGCCATCCTTGGGACCTGGACAGGCCTGAGAGATGGGCCTGTGCGAACCACATGAAGATCAACAAGGCCAAGTGCAAGGTCCTGCACGTGGGTCAGGACAATCCCAAGCACAAACACAGGCTGGGCGGAGAATGAATTGAGAGCAGCCCTGAGAAGGACTTGGGGTGTTAGTTGATGAAAAGCTCAACATGAGCTGGCTACGTGCACTTGCAGCCCAGAAAACCAACCATATCCTGGACCGCATCACAAGAAAGTGGGACCAGCAGGTCAAGGGAGGTGATCCTGCCCCTCTGCTCTGCTCTTGTGAGACCCCACCTGCAGTACTGTGTCCAGCTCTGGGGCCCCCGGTACAAGACAGACATGGACCAGTTAGACTGAGTTCAGAGGAGGCCACAAAGATGATCAGAGGGGCTGGAGCACCTCTCCTATGAGGACAGGCTGAGAGAGTTGGGGTTGTTCAGCCTGGAG